GGTGGCCCCAGACTTCAAGAGGCTTATGATGTAAGAACTGAGTAGGCATGTAAGAGAAGAACAGCAAGGCATCATGAAGGATGCTGTTATGGACGGATCGACACACAGGCAGTGTAGCCAGACACTGGTGTCCAAGGAGACTGCCTGCCGGGAGGCTTAAAGGGGAAGCAGGAAGTTGTCAGGAAAATAATGATCGGAAGTACACACACTATTAGGGTTTGCTGGAGCACAAGCATGAGGTGGGGATGAACTTGAACAGACAGTTGGGGAAGATCGAGACCAGAGGGGGTTCTTATGTGACCCTAAGGAGTTCAGATACCAGTGCGAGTGCCAGGGAGCCTTTCTGACCAGATGGGTGAACGTGAGGTTTCCCATTCCTCCCATTGGCTGGGGTAGAGTAGATACGGGAAACAGGGAGGAGCAAACCGTGACCCAGCACCCGGTGGGAATGTGCCCACATGCTTTGAAGGACCAAGGATGTGGGGTTGGACCAGGGCAGTGGCTGTGAAGGCAAAGAGCTGAATGTGAAAAATGAGATGCTGAAGCGGCAGAGTTTTAAAAACATGTTGTAGTCACTGACATCTACTAGCAGAGACATATTTCTACAGATTTGGTGCCTGCTGGATGACCTTTTTCACAGAAAGGGCAGCAATCCTGCCTGCGGTTCTATGGTGTTTCTATTCGAGAAGCCAAACATTCGAGTTTTCAACACAAACTACAAGCAGCTGTGTGTCACCAACTAAGGGTTAGCCCTGCGATGTTGTGGCCTTTGTCACCAGTTTTCAGTGTTAGCACCCAAGAGACCATAAGCTCCTGGCCGAGGAACTTGCAGTTCAGGTGAGTTGTGCTGCCGTGTGCTGGGGTTGGAACAACAGGGGTGATGATTCAGAACTGGGCTTGGCATCGCTAGGTCTGGGTTTGAATCCAAGCTCTGCCGCTTGCATCAACGCTCAATTCTCTGCTAGGTTTCATCGTCTCTGACTTTGAGGGTATGGTGCCAGTTACTGAGCATGGCTACCTGGCTCAAATTCACACATGAGGGCACAGCTAAGATTCCCTTGTGGGTCCAGCTGAATCTACACTCCACACTCTTTTGTTATTCTTATTTCTCTTTCCTATTTAATACATGCATTGTTTTCATTATCATTTACTTTTTAAGAAATGCTATCATTGTAATTTATGGTTCCCCTTTGACCCAAGAGTTATTTTACATAGTTTTATTCCATCATCACCAGAGGATGCTACTTATATTATTTCTTCTTTATGGAATTTACTGAATTTTCTTTGTGACCTCGTCTATGGTTAATTATGTGAATGATCTTCATGAACTTGAAAGGAAAGTGTGCTCTCTATCATCAGAATACAAAGTCTGTGATGTATCCAGATCTATCTTATTAACTATGCAGCTTGGGGCATCTATATTCTCACAGTAAGTCACCCTGTATGCACAATTTTACTTTCTGCAGTTTCAGTTACCTGGGGTCAACTGTGGTCCCAAAATAAAGGTGTACTACAAAATATTGAGACACACACACACACACACACACACAGAGAGAGAGAGAGAGAGAGAGAGAGAGAGAGAGAGAGAGAATACATTCACATGACTTTTACCATAGTGTATTGCTTTGATTGTTCTATTTTATTAGTAGTTACTGTTTTTGATTCTTACTGTGTCTAATTCACAAATCAAGCATTATCATAGGTATGTATGTAAAGGAAAAACGTATATATCAGGTTTGATACTATGGATTCAGGCATCCATGGGGGTCTTAGACTATCTCCTGCAGACAAGGAGGGACTAATGTATTTATCTTTTGTCCTTATTTACCTGGCATTGAACAGAGATTTGTTATTTGGAATATCCAGTATGAGTATATTTCTATTTCTTCTCACATCTTCTGCAGTTTTTGCTATAAAAATTTCTAATGTGTTATTTGGCATGCATTTATAGCTTCTGTCTGTTGCTTGTGAACTCTGGTCTTCAGCTTATGCCAGTCCTTCCTTCTCATTTATGCTTGTTCAGACTGCACTTTATCTTGTCTCACATCGAGATAAAAACTGGTGCTTGTTGTTGTTGCTGGTGTGCATTTGCCTTGGGTGCTTTTGCCCGCCTCTGTATTTTTTACCTTTTACAACTGCTTTGCTAGGTGTGTCTCTTGCGTTCAGCATACAGTTGGTCTTGCAGATTCCATATTTCTGACTGGTACACCTTACTCTGTCCAGCATGTAACGGGAGTTCCATGGAATATTCATTTCCTTTTTCTTTTCGTCTCTTCCTCAACCAGGGGCAAGCCTTACTGGGCCCAAATCTCCTTGTCTGGACCTGAAGTCCCTTCAAAACCCGCTGGCCTAGCTGGGTTCTCATGTTTGACTCTGGCCTGCTGGCTCTCAGACCCTAGCAGAGCAGGCTTGGCCTCTCCCGGGGGGCCCACGTGCCCTCACCATGGTGAACTCGAAGAGCACCGACATGAACTTAGTTTAAAACTCATTCTCCTCTGCGGGCTTGACCCACAGAGTGAGGTTCCCAATGTTTGGATAAGGCCTGCCATCTCCTAAAATATCTTTAAAACGTAATTAAACAATCCTGGAGTAAGGTTATTGCATGTAAGTCTGCTGCTGGAATGAACCCTAGAAATCATCTACCGGAATTTTCTCCCCAGTGCATCGCTCGCTTCTACAATACTCCATGAAGATTTTTGTCTCTGCCTTTTTCTGGAAATAGTAAACTGACACTATTACCCATTCTATAGGCATGGATTTGAAGCCCAGCTATATTTTTTTAGAAAAGCAGAAACCTGGCTTTTTAAATGTGAAATTTCCCAATTATTCAATATGACAACTAAATCAAATTTCTTTAAAACACTACTAGTTAGTTAAAAAAAAAAACAAAAAAAACCCACCACTGGGTAGACCATTAAAATGCCTGATAGAAGCTGGGCTTGGTGGCTCAGCCTGTAATCCCGCACTTTGGGAGGCTGAGAAGAGTGGATGGCCTGAGCCCGTGGGTTCGAGACCCACCTGGGAAACTTGGCAAGACCTCATCTCTACAATAAACCAAAAAATTAGCCGGGCGTGGTAGCGCATGCCTGTAGTTCCAGCTACTTGGAAGGCTGAGGCAGAAGGATCGCCGGAGCCCAGCGGGTCGAGGCTGTGGTGGCCGGGAGCGGCCACTGCACTCCAGTCTGGGTGACACAGTGAGACTCCAACTCAAAAAAAAAAAGAAACTGCCAGATAGACTATTAAAAACGTATCTGTGGGCAGAGACATCTGTAGGCTACCACTCTGCAGTCTCTGACCTCAATTAATTAGCATAACACATAGTACAGGTTAGGCACTCCATACAAACCGAATTCATCACAAATCTTCAACATCAGATTCTTGGGAGAAAGAATTTTTTTATTGAGTGAGTAGGAGGCCAGACACATCAATGGCAGGCCCAGGAAATTAGCAGAGGTCAATCTAGGCCAGGCTCAGTGGCTCAGCCTGTAATCCCAGCACTTTGGGAGGCCAAGGCCTGAGCCTGCAGGTTCGAGACCTGCTGGGGCAACCTGGCAAGACCTCGTCTCTACAGTAAATCAAAAACTAGTCGGGCACAGTAGCACGTGCCTGTAGTTCCAGCTACTTGGAAGGCTGAGGCGGAAGGACTGCTGGAGCCCAGCAGGTCGAGGCTGTAGTGGTCGGGAGCGTGCCACTTCACTCTAGCCTGGGTGACAGAGTGAGACCTCAACTCAAAAAAAAAGTCAATTTGTTCTCGCAGGTAGGGGAACAGGATGGGAGCAGACCAGCAACGAACCCACCTCCTTCCTGGCCTGCCTGCTCTGACTCTCCTGCTGACACTCGCTGGCTCCTGCACGACTGGCTGATCCCTGTGCAGTCAAACTGACACAGGCGGGTGGGGGCAGAGGGGCGGAAGGACCCTCCTGAACATCTAAGTGTCGAGTGGCCTCCTTAGAATGAGCTGACGGGGGCGAGAAGAAAAAAATACGCCGCGCTGGGAGCCAAGGAGGCAACTTTCTCCCTGCACCGCTCCCCACAGTTTTCCCTCATCAGCCACTGCAGACCCTGCCAAGCACTTTCCATTCGGGTGGGTTGCAGCTGTCCCACACATGTTCCAAATAAGGGCCAGCGGGCTGCTCCTATTTTTAGCCCTGTAACACGGAGGCGAAGGTCACCAAGATTCCCCATCTGCCAAATTCCTTGCTCTCTTCTCTTTCTATCTTCCATTTTCCTCCAAGATGTGTTTCCTGTTCAAGTGAGTTAAGGTAAGACTTTCTGGGGGAGAGAGAGAGACCCCAAATAGTTACTTCCTGGAGCGGCTCTCCTCGGAATTGCCATGGGTTGGGTGAGAGATCTAGCCCATGGCAGCCAAAGTCATGTACAGACAGACTTTGGAAACAGCATTCCAGGCTTGGACTGAAGCCATCGCTTTTGCTCTCTTGAGCATAAAGAGAGACTCAGAGTAGAAAACAGCTTCACTGTTTCTCTCATCCAACCCTCCAAGTACACACCCGGAGGCACTGAGGCCCAGAGCGGAATTTGCTTCTCACTAACATTGATAAGAAATATTACTATCGCTTATCACGGAAGGATCTCCTCTGCTAAGGACTTTACAGATTTCCTCATTTAATCCTCACAACCCAATAAAGTACCTCTTTCAATTCTTCTCGTCTTACAGATAACCAAACTGGGGTTTCATGAGTTCAGAAACTTGCCCAAAGTCACATGGCCTGGCAGTAGAAGGACCCATAAAGACATTCAGGATCCTGATGCAAGTCTTTCAACTCTTTTCAAAACCAGTGCTCAGCATGAAGATTCACACACACACACACACACACACACACACACACACACACACACACACACACTCAGCACCGCTCCTTTGTGAGGTTCTCTGGAAACCAAGGAGTGTTTTCAGAACACCAGCACCACCTGGCAAAAGCCCCCCTTTGGCCCCAAGGCCGGGAGCTGCGGAGACAGGAGGGGAGCCTGGCCCTCTTTACCTGTTCTCAGGGTCAGCCAAGGCCATACTCCGAGTGACGAAGCACATTTTGAGGGGGATGCTCTTCTGGTCTCTGAGGAAGGAGAAGGACTGCGATGACACAGTGTCCAGGGAGCTCCCCCCGAGCCGGGGGGATTCCGGTGGCGGAGTCTCCCAGCCGATCTCGGACACTGGGGAGCCTTTCTTCACGTAAGGCGTGGCCTCCCGCATGTACTTCACTGCAAGCAAGAAGACAAGGGCCTTTCAGTACAGCAAGGCGACTCTGAAACGTCCAACCGTGCTTCTGCGAGGAACTCGCATCGGATAAGCTCTTTGTGCCCAGCCCCTTAGATTCTGGATAGGACTCAGAAGTTCCACTCCTCTCCACATCATCACCCTATTATTTCAATTATATGCCACCATCGTTCTTAGAACTTGTCGTTGTGATGTCCTGCAGTTGAGAACTGCTTCTAGCTTATCTCAACTGTGACAATGTCTGTCTTTCCCGACTACAAGCTGCATTTTGGGGCGGGGGGGAGGGCTGAAACAACTAGGTAGAGGGTGAGAAAATGTAACTTGGACTAAAAGGCACATTATTCAACGTAGTTGAAAGGAATCTGGAAGCCACATTCACTACCCACAACACCATTTTCCTGCTGAGAAGCAGGGGTGGGGTTTTCAGCATAACAACGCTAAGAACATAGATACAAAGAATATACATAAGAATCCATTTTGTAGTGGCAAAAATTCGTAATAGCAAAAACATCATTTGTCAGAGCTGAAAACCAGAAGCAACCTAAATGTTCACTAAAAAAAGGACAGATGACATAAATTGTAAGACGTTTATATATTGCCATTCTTTTAAAAAGTGAGATCTATATAGATGTGTTGATGTGGGAAGATCTGTGAGATCTATTATTAGTGGGGGAGAAAGAGACAGCAGTACATATACTACAACAGTTTTGTGTATAAAATCATAAATATATGTGTTTGTATATCTACGATTATTTCTGGATAGAAGTATAAGAAAATGTTAACAGCAGTTAGCTCTGAGGAGTGGAAATAAAAGCCCTGATGATAAAGAAATATAGACCTTTACTATTCATGTATTGCCATCTTATAGCATTTTCACCTTTAACCATGTGGGGGAATGACTTCTACAAAACTTTTTAAAAAAACAAAATAATTGAAGAGCTGAGTGGAGCAGACTGAAATTCTGCTCTTTGGTATGTTTGCCTTGGCCTGAAAGGGTTTTTGCCTTTTCTGAATTTGAGTAGTTGGTCTTTAGACAGCTTTTGAGTTGACGGGCAACCAGATCCTTGGAGCGTGCAACATACACGTCCATATTCTTCTCTGTATCACCTACACACTGCGTTTTCTGCTGCTTGGAGGGTATTTGGCTAAGCCCCCCGCAGCAACTGTGATTACAAACGGCAGTGGAGGGGAATGAGCGCAAACTCGGGGGCGTTTCCTCCCACCTTCAATGACTCGGTTCCACAAACTGGCGCCCTCACTGTGCAAGGCAGGGAGCTGATACTATGGAGACCCCAGAGCTGAACAACCCGGAGCCTCCACACTCGAGAGGTACAAGAGAATGGCTGCCATGGCGGACACCGCTGATGTCCCATCTAGAGCCCGCTGGCCATATCCTAACTGCTGTGTTGGCTGAGGACAACTCATTGTCGCACCCTACTCCCGGTCCAACAGAGGCTGCCAGGCCTGCGAGGCTGCAGACTCACCGCCCAACCCCCCTAGTTAGAAGCGCTGCTTCTGGGAACCCACCTAAGACAGGATACAAGACAAGCAAACTGTAGCACAAAGAAGAATGAGCTGATTTTTATAACAAGAATGAAATGCCACGGGAGAACCCATGGGGGAAAAAAAATGGATCTAGGACGTTGAAAGACAGGTCGGGCTTGCAACGATTTAACAAGCAGATCAAATACACCCAGATGCATGTGACATGGATATGTGGGAACTCGTAACAGATATCAAAAACCAACCATATTAATACAAGACAGTGGAGCAGTCATCTGGCACCAACACACATTTTAATGAAAGACTTCAGGGCTTTAACAGAACATACGTGCAATTCGGAGGAGACAGCTCCATAGTGGCCCCAAACCTACTAGCACAGGTTGCAGTTACAGAAGGAGAAATATTATTCACGGACTGTTTATTTTAAGGGATACTGTCTATTTCTGGGCAATATATTTAAAGAGGAACACAGACAGACTGAAGAAAATTTAGAGGAACATACTGCTGTCCGAGGCTGGAATAAATAGACCTCTTTTGAGGACACTAAATTTTTTCATTCTAGTGGAAGCCAGAACACTGCTTAGCTCTGTGTATTGTAGAATTACCCTTATTAATATATAGGAAATTCATGCATCAGCTGAGGTGGGTTGAAGAGAGTGCATTATTGTAGGGATGAGTGTTGTAGGAGTGAGAATCCAGGGATACTTCATGGAGTAGGTGGCATTTTAACTTGGCCTTAAAGAGTAGCTAGGACTTTACAAGTAGAACTAAGAATAACAATCCTTCTTTTACATAACATGATCTTATTTATAATTTTTTTGCAATTCCAAAGGAAAGGTAGATTGGATCTCAATTTGGAAGGGGGTAGAGAAGGAATATTTATCATACACTTAATGCTGTGCCAAGTACTGGGCCAGGTGCTTTAAATATATTTCCACATTTAAGCTTCAAAATTACCCACTCAAGGTTCAATGTAAGATATAAGAAAACTAAGTTCTAGAGAAGAAATGGGCAAGGTATCTTTTATTTATGGAGTTTCCAAGTCTTCACAAGCAATCCAAGAATTAAACCCTACCCTTTTCAGATCTTGCTAGAAAGAAATTCCTTGTCAGGCTACTGTAATTCTAGTGAACACCAGCAGCTTGATGCAGGTGACCCTTCACAGGTTAGTATCATTGCACACAGCTGCACACTGAGGTTCAGAAATTTAGTGTATGTGGGGTCACATGGCTAGTAAGTGTGCATCTGGGATTTGAGTGCCCAGAAATCACATTCTCTCTTGAGATATGGCTACATCACCTAGATGAAGGTTGCAAAATGACAAGCTAATAGGTTACAGTGTTAGTCATGGCAGTCTATGAGCAAGAGAGTGTGAGAATCAAAGATCAACTCTAGGAAGAACAACTCCTGGAGAGTGAAACTGGGTGTACTTAAGGAAAATGATATTAGTAGTAGATCTACCATTTCTAGGGCCATGGGAGTTACTGTCAGTGATGACCCAACAACACTCTAAATGATGTGCATATAAAGGCATGAGGAATTCCAGAAATGGGTGGTTCGATCCAGTCGTGGTAGCAGCATGGGGAGTCTCAGTTTCCAGTCTCAGCCTGGAAACAAACACTCACCAAGCAGACACTTCCTACGTGGCATGGCATGAGGGGAACTAACAAAGAAGACACAGCAATGCCTTGAAGAACGAATACTCCATCGGAAATAATATTCAATATATAGTAATCCTTTCAACTAACCAACTGAAAATAAAGACAGAGAAAATAAGTAAACAAGGTAGGTGTGATAATTTAAAGATTTAGCCAAAATCTATCAGTCCATTTTCATGTGCCGTGATGGCACTGCTCATGAGAGATGATAAGAAATGGGCCATGGTGAAAGTAAGTTCAGGCTTAGAAAATGGGAAGTCGCCGGGCTTGGTGGCTCAGCCTGTAATCCCGCGCCTTTGGGAGGCTGAGGTGAGTGGATTGCCTGAGTCCGCGGGTTCGAGACCTGCCTGGGCAGGCGAGATCTCATCTCTACAATAAATCAAAAAATTAGTGCATGCCTGTAATTCCAGCTACTTGGAAGGCTGAGGTGGAAGGATCGTCGGAGTCCAGCAGGCGAGGCTGCGGTGGCCAGGAGCGGCCACTGCACTCCAGTCTGGGTGACTGAGTGAGACTCCAACTCAAAAAAAAAAAAAAAAAAGAAAAAAAAAAAAATGGGAAGTCAGTCAATAATATGAGTGCTTTGTGTTAAATCTTAAAACTGGTTTAAGGAGGTCTCAAGTTTCTAGGGGCCTTCAGTAATCAAATGTGAATCCTTACTGGAGAAAAGCAACCTCATCTCAGGTTTCAGAGAATCCCGGTGAATCATTTTCAAGAGCAATAAGCAGGCGCAAAATCAAAGAAAATACCACACACCAGGAAACAAGGCACCATGAACAAGAACCAGCACAAACAGCGAATAGCAGTAACAGTCTCACGATAATATAAAGCTACAATACGTTTACAGAAACAAATGAAAGCTTGAGAGAATCTTCCAGAAATGATTTTTTTAAGTGGCCTAACAATGGTAAAGGCACCAAACGCAGCGTCTAGTAATAATAATAATACCAGAATCAAAACTTCAAGAGACAGGTATGTCCCAAGAGGAAATCAGTCAACTGATAAGAAAAATGATACAGAACACAGTATAAAGGTACAAGAAGATGGAAAATATGGAACAGAGGTTGAGAGATGTGAAGGAAAGAGTGAGAAAATCTGAATGTGTTTAGCTAGAGCCCCAGAAGGGAAGCTCAAGAGAATGCGGCAGCACCTAAGAGCTTTCCCGATGCCAAGAGAACAGCAGCTCACAAGTTCTGGGTACCTGACCTGGTTTTGCTGAGCAATGCATGTGAACTCCAGCATCAAGACAGAAATAAGGCGTCATCTTTCTTTACACTTTGGGTGGGGCAGATGGCCGAGGTTCTTCGTAGAACCTGTGCTTCTTCTCAGAGCTTTAGCTATCACCTCTGCCTTGCGACAGTGCTGGAGAAAGCCTCAGCAAAATCCCTGTGCCCTGAGATCTCTGGAACCACCAGAAAACAAGTTTTCAATTTTAAGGAGGTCAAAAGATTATCATCATTCTTCCTAAGGAAGCTATGCTGAGGTTCTGGAACTTTCTTCTGTACTTGTCCTGAGGGAGAATAAGTAACATCCGCACATTCCTGCTTAAAGCCCTCTTGTCCCCAGAGTCCTGCTTCTTCTTGACATGCTTAGAAAACGTGAGAAACATGTTCTTGGGTGCTACAAAGAAAGCAAAGGAAAACTGCCATGATTTCTGGTACAGAGGAAATACTAAAATAGTCAGAATGTCTCTTCTTGCTGGCAGACTGCAGGTCATTTCTATAGGGCTTGGCCATCAACTGTTCGCACAATACTCTTGCCAAGCCCTCCTCTTTGGACACCCACTGAGGTCTGAGGCTGAGCTTCCGCAGGCAGGGAGTAGAAGCAGGCGGCCATGCTCACGTGTGAAGCGGCGGCTCCAACAGGAAACAAGGAGTATGTGAAGCCTTTCCATGGATCTTTAGTTTCCAAAATTTCTACACATGGCAATCAAAATAGTGAGGGTATGGTCTAATTCAGGGAGGGGAAGGTGCCATTCAGGCCTAGATGTGTCTGCGATAACTACACAACACTAATGTATTAAATAATACATAGGTTTGTTGTTCATTTGCCGAAAGTCCAGGGTGAGAGAAAAGGGCTGCCAGGGCAGCTCTGTTCCCTGAAGTTGTCCGGGACTTGGGTTTCCCAACTTCTCTGACTCCCCAGTGTGCCGTCTAACAATCCAGACGGCTGCAGGAGTTCCAGCCCTCATGGCCAAATTTCCATCAGTAGGAAGGAGGAAGAAGTGAAAAACATGCAATCCTTCTTCCTTTAAGACCACTTACCAGCAACTGTCACACTATTTTTTCTTACGCCCCATCAGCCAGAACTTAGCTGTTATATGGCCACTAGTTAAGTTACTAGCTGGAAAAGAAATGTATTCTTTACCCTAGACAGCTCTATACCCATCCAGTTAAAAATTGGTGGCAACAGGAGGCAATGACTATGGGAGAAGAAGAATATACACATTAGGAAACAACTCAACTTTTGGCAGAGGGAGACATCTTTAATTCTTTCAGGACTTGCTAGATTTTATAACACATGAATACAAATCATCGTGTTAGGGCATTTGGTAAAAAACACCATGGCCACCTTCCACATCCTTTGCTACGTGTTTTTTGGTAGTGACTTATTCGAACCTCATGATCATCCTAGGATACACACATTATCATCACCCCCATTTCATACGAGACGCTGCAACAGAGAGAGTGTAAGTCACGTGCCCAATGTTAGGGCAACAGAAGATGGCACAAGATGAGCAGATCCAGCTGACTGACCCCAGAGCCCTTACTTTTAACTAGGAAGCAATACTATTTCTTACACTTACAAGAAACGGTTTGGAGGTTTTTGTGTGTGCGTTTAGGCCCATATTTTTATGTGCTGGGAGAAAACATCCAATTAAGAGGCTGCTGCCTGCAACATAAGAGAGCTTGATTTTGCAAGCCTGAACTATTAAACCAGGCCATTTCAATAAACGCCTTTTAGGACATCACAATATGGATTCATAATAGAGGGTTGAGTCGGGCAGAACTGAGCTGCTCATGTCAATAACTCCCCCTCCATGCATTTACAGACAGCAATTTCAGGCAAAGAGCCGTTGAAACACAGCAAGAAGCAGCCAGGCCCAGGATCCGGGTGCCTAGTGATCAGAACTAATTAATAAACCATGCCCTTTTGGGTCATCAGGATTTAAAAGTCATGGTTGAGCAATTAAAATTCCAATCTTCAGCTGCAAAAAAGAGGAGAGGAGTAAGCAGTGGTCTTTAAAATAACAACCCAAGTCATTTTCCATTTGTTCATAGTTTTTTAAGCGATGGACAGGCAATTGGAGGATTTCAAAAGAATGTTCAGTAAAGTCCAAGTTTTCAAGGGTTCCAGGTTGCTACAATTCAATCTTTGTTGGGTTGGCCAGATGACATTTGAAAGGAAACGCATACACAAGCTACTAATGAGGAAATGCTCTAGGCAAATCCAATCAACTCTCCTACCAGGCTGGCTTCTAACAAGTTTTCTTAAAAATAACAACAACGAACAACAAAGTAATTTCCAGATTACAGGAAGGAAACAAGGCCTTTCATGACTTCAGGGGACATGAAGACAAATGTACATTTTCTCATGTGATTAAGGAGAAAGGGGATCAGCCAGAGGCAAGAAAGCCGGATATTCAGACTTTCGGTGAATGCTCAACCTGGGGCCAGGCTGGTGGCCCTGGGATAGACCTGCTCCTAATGGCATTTTCCTAGGTCATCATGGCGAGGAAAGGAGCAGAGGAAGATTGTCAATATTTTCAAACAGGCCACAAAATGATGAAATAAGCAATACGTTTCCCAGAAACGACAGTCAAGTGTCCCAGGAAGTGGGATGATGTGGAAGAAAGAGCCTTGACCCTGGGAGGCAGGACCAGGCTTCAGTTCGGGTTCGGCCACTAACTGGCTCTCCAGTCCTGGGCATGGCACTTCTGTCCCTAGATCTCATTCTCTCTACCTGTCAAGGGAAAAAGAAGGTACCTACCCTTCAAATATTCTTCGATTACTCGGGAAGGGGCTCTTCTGACAACATTTCAAAAAATGCAAGTCTTACCTCATCTTGCTACATGAGTCACCACGAACAAATAGTCCTGTTAAAGTGGGCATCAATTTCTAGATGAAGGCCTATATCTTCTGACTTTCTACCAAACCCTGCAGTCATCTGATAAATATGAAAATAAGCCTATGCTGAGACTGTGTGCTCAAGTGACTTTCTCTTAGATTGGGCAGCACTGCCTAGAAGAATCATGATTTCCCTTCACTCACCGATATTCATTTCACTTCCATTCTGCCAACTGGGTGCTAAAAGGTGAGTTTTGGGGTTTTTTTTTTTTTTGAGTTGGAGTCTCACTCTGTTGCCCAGACTGGAGTGCAGTGGCCGCACCCGGCCTCCGCAGCCTCAACTTGCTGGGCTCCAGAGATCCTTCCGCCTCAGGCTTCCGAGTAGCCAGAACTACAGGTGCGTGCTACCACAGCCAGCTGATTTTTTGATTTATTGTAGAGATGAGGTCTAGCCAAGCTGCCCAGGCGGGTCTCGAACCCACAGGCTCAGGCAATCCGCTCACCTCAGCCTCTCAAAGCACGGGATTACAGGCTGAGCCACCAAGCCCAGCTCCCAAATTAATTAATTTTTAAGAAAAGAATTCAGTTGCTTGCAGTTGTAGGACTGAGGTCTCCTTTTTCTTGCTGGCTGTCCCATTCACAGCCTCTGGAGGCTGCCTGCATGTCTAGGCTTATGGGCCCTCGGCCTCGGCCTTCAAAGCCAGAGTCAAGGTCTCCACAGCGCCGCTCTCTGAGTCCTCCCTGACTCCCCTTTCAAGGACTTGTGTGATTAAATTGGAGCCACCCGATCATCCAGGATCATCTCCCTGTCTGAGAATTTTTAACTTAATTACAACTGCAAAGTCCCTTGTGTCACACGAAGTAGCGATTCACAGGTTCTGGGGATCAGAACGTAGACTTCTAGGGAGGGGGCATTATTCTCCTCACCAGCCGCCTCTCTGAGGAAAGCTCCAGTCCTCACTGAGGTCACAGAGCTGCACATGTGCCGCCCGCCATTCCCTACATTTATGTGGCCTCTACTCTTCTCCAAGCTCAGCAGGCACATTGTGGCCTCAGGGTCTTTGCACAGGCTGTTCTCACTGCCTGATTCACTTGACCCCAGATATCCACATGGCTCCTCCCTCACCTGCCGTTCTTTTTTTTCTTTTTAGAGTTGAGGGCTCACTCTGTCACCCAGGCTGGAGTGCAGTGGCAGTTTCACTGTGGCCACCGCAGCCTCGACCTTGTTAGGTTAAAGATCCTTGCTAGGCCCTCCAAAAACGTTAGGTTAAAAACATACCCTAGCTGGGCTTGGTGGCTCAGCCTGTAATCCCGCGCTTTGGGAGGCTGAGGTGAGTGGA